AGCTTGAACAGGGGGAATTTCTTTACTATTCGGTAGTTTCAGAAAATGATTGATTCCTTGTCACCAATTGTAATGGGTAACGCAGGTTAATTATCCTGGAATTTTTTTTCCTAACATGTGTTTCAGAAGATAATTATTTTTGGCCCATCATCACCGCTGCCCAATATCAGTCAATCTTTTTTCTTCCTCTTTTCACCTCCGGAATGAGGTTAGAGGCTTTTCTGCTGAAATGATAGGTCTTATGGGACCCTTGGAGTTAGAAGGGCCAAAATCGGTATTTCTTGCCTCAGGTAGTACTCGTGAAATCAAAGGAGGAAAATTAATATCGGAACATCCCCAAAGTCAGCTTCTTCGCAAATGCCATAATCAACCATCTTTTTGCAAGGCTGCCGATGGCTCCCTCTTTCGAGAGTTGCTTGGAAGCAAGCTGATGGCCGGTTTTTTGTCTCTTTGGCATATGCCCTTACCAATTTGTCATCAAATGAATAAATGAGCCTGAGAGGGATTGATAGCTTCACTGATGTAGTGGAACCGTCAACTCTCTGCGCGAGAGCAGTGCTATTTGTCAGCTATTATATCATCCCCACTAACCTATATATTACAAAAGCACATTCTGGAAAGACTTGGATAATATTGCCACTTTTACAGTTTTACTTTTGTTTTGAAACTTTTTAATACAAAAACTGTTGATAGAACATTTTTGCCAAAATAGTTCTGGGCGTTTCTGTGTTTTTTAAGAGTGGTATATTTTCTTCTAATCGAGCATTAAATCGATTTTTCAATTACTTTCAGATGTCTCCAGTGGGTATATGAGTGAAGGTGGTATAACGGTGTATGCTCGAAAAATGCAAGCACGTTTCAAGGAAGGTCTGGAAGCTGTTCGTGATTCGATGCGACATCGACATCATGATTTCAACGACAGGTCCGTTTCTTTTTACCGCATTTTCAACTCTTTATGGCGTACCGACGTTATGTACACAACTGTTGCTCGATGCGAATTCGGGAACATCGCAGATATTGCCACTCTGTTCAGTTTCGAGAATATGTTAGGTTTTTTGTTCACTTCGAGCCCAGGAATATCACGGGTTCTATCTCGCGGTTCGTGTTCGAAAATTTCATAGATCTTATCACTCGGTTCAAGTTTTTTTCCAAGACTTTCGTGTGTTTCAGTAATAATAATAATAATAATAATAATAATAATAATAATAATAATAATAATAATAATAATAAT